CTGCGTTCCCGCGAGATTTGTGCTGCTCCGCTTCGAGCACAGGCAGCAGGTGAGTGGGCAGAGACGGGGCCAAAACTGGGAAAACGGGGGGCCTGAAGTCACCCTTCCCTGGGGCCACCTTCCGGGGTGGACGTTAGGCAGAGGGTGACGGGCAGCACCGCAGGAGCCGGGCAAGAGCCCGTGGCAGCGCTGTTCCCCAGGGCTGGCTCCAGCCGTGCCGGGCCGCGGCTCTGCCGCTTGCTGGCTGGAGCACAGCCTTCATCCTGGGTGATGTCCTGGGGCAGACTCTGTGTGCTGGGAAAAGCGTGAGCATTTCTGCTCCGGCCTCGTGGTACGCCCCATAGACGAATCCCAGTTTCCAACACAGAGCCCCGACCGCAGCCCAGAGGAAGACACAGGTGTGTTTTCCTCCGGTGCTTCGGTGTGACCTTCCTTTGTGTACACCAGAGGCGTCCCAGGAAGACAGGCCCGAGGGGCAGCTGCTTCTTCCCTGCGGTCCGTAAGGGTTGTTGCGCGTGGCGTGGAGAGCGCATTGTGGAAGCTGCCAGGTGGCAGCCAGGAGGTCCTCCCGGCCGCTCTGCAACTGTGCCATCGTGACCTGAGTCTTTCTCCCACCCCGTCACCTGACCCACCTCCAGTTTCTAAGGGAGAAGAAGATCACAACATCCCCAGCAATGGGAACGTCTCTCATCAGTTCTTGATTCTTGATTCTAGATGCTGACATTGGTGGTAGTGAATCGACCTATTCAGATGTTAGTCTGAATCCAGGTCTTATGCCTTGGGATCAACCCAGAGGTAGGTTCTGAGTGCCTGTTTCCAAGAAGGCAGACAAATGTGTGCCCCAGTAGCATACAGTGTCATTTCAGATCCTCTCAAGGTCTTCCTAACCTGCTTGTACCTTGGAGGTCTTGCACAGATCAGTCATGAGTAGTTTGTTACTGGGAGAGCGGCCACATTTCAGTGGGAAGGTTACCCCTGCCTCTCTCCAGTTGCAAGAACGCAGACCTTCTTCTTTGCGCCACGTCAATCCCTGACCCGCCACCACACCCTGCAGGCCACTGAGGAAAAAGTAGCCCCGACATGCAGAGGAAGCTCTGCTCTGCTCTGCTCGCCCGTGTCTGATCTCACTTGTCCCTGCAGGCCCTCAAGGACAACCGGCAGAGTGGAATCCTGTCCCTGAGCCTGGGCTGGACGCCAGAGGCAAGTCCCCAGTCTTCATTGCCTTGATATTTGCTCAGACTTGGTGGTGATAGCTCAGCAAGCTTTCAGCTCTTCACCGGCCAGCGTGACAATGCTGGGTGAAATGCATGGAGTCCACTGATTCCTGGGTGCTGCATGCTCCCACTGCTGCCTTTGTCTCTCTGACTCCGAGGTCTCCCAGTCAGAAAGCCTCAAGGGGCTGAATTTTGTTCACGAGGTCTCGGAGGGCTCTTTCACGTGGCCTGGAGGAAGTATTTTGAAAGCTGCTGAATGCCAGCCACCAAGGTCCCCTGGCCCCTCTGCAACTTGGGAGCTTTTGTCCTGCGTGTGGCTCGCGTGTCACTGCCTGAGCCCCGTGTAGTCACTGTAGGTTCTAAGGAAGAGTGAGGTGGCCACGTGCAATGGGAACGTTTCTCATCTGCCCTTGACGACAGCTGTGTCCGTAGGCAGTGGCTTGTCGAAGCCTCATCTTGATCTGCTCCATGAGACTCAGGGCAATCCCCCAGCTAAGTCACTGGAAGGAAAGGGTCTGTAGGTGTTCCCCTTCCCTTCCCCATTCCCTTTCCCTGTGCAGTTCCACTTTCAATAGCACGGCGCCACTGCAGGCACCCAGCAACTGTTTTCAAGGTGCTCCTGCGTTGAAGAGAGAGAAGAGGGTTGTAAAGTAGCCCCCTGTCACTCCCATCTGAAGAAGTATGTGGGCAGGTTTGACGGCAGCTGCTCTGTCCTGTGTGTCTTTACAGATGTGGATGGCGGAGAATGGGATCCAGCTTCCCAGCTGGGTTCCAGGCCAGAAGGTCCGGCGGATCTCATGGGTATGTCATGGCTTTTTACTTCCTTTGAGAGCTGCCAGCTCAAAGCTCTAATGTCAGCCAGGCACGTCTGAAGGTATGAGAATCCAGACGTGCCTTTGCGTGCCCTGTCACCGCATGATTCCCCGATAGCACCTGCCCCTCAGTGACGCCATCATGCAGCTGTAATGCGTAGATTGCAGTGTATGGTGGAAAGTTCTCGTGGTTCTTTGGTTGCAGACGTGGCTCCGCAGAGGGTGTTGCCAGATCCTCGACTGGCATCCCGCTGGCATCCCAGAGGTGGGTAGTCTGCCTTCATTGACTTCACCAGAAAGAGCACTCACATCAGAAATCGGTTTGCCTGAAATTTATCTTAAAACTTTCCATGAAGGTCCTGAGACATGGAATGAGGAGCTGAAGACAGGAAAATATTCCCCTGTCCTCAAGGAAATGAAGGAGGATTTGGAGAAGGCAGTCCCTGGTGCGTATATTTCCATCTGTTCACCAAAAGACTTGGGAAGCTGAGGTTCTACGTGTATTCGTGGAGAAACTGTAGCATGCATAGCAGGAAGGGACGGGCCAGAGCCTTGCTGTGGTGCTGCTCCTGTGTCTGAACCGGCTGCAGCTTTTGCCCGTTCCCTTTGAAAGAAGGCATTTAGCATCACCTTGCAGCTTGTCAAAAACGCACAGCGTGCACTGTGAACAACAAACTCACCTGCAACCTGCCGGTCTCCCAGCAGGCCAGGTTTTGCTGTCCGTGCAACAGAACTGGAAGTGTGTAGCATTTTTTTTTCCAGTGAATGACACTTTCAGACTGGTGACGAGGCGCACTGCAAAAAGCCCAGGCTTTGTTTCTAAACTTTCTTGCTGTATCTTGCCTCCTGAAGATACTATCATCCTGATGAGGAGCACTTACTTACAGTCCCATGCTCCTGCCTTCTTTCGAGAGAGGCAGACAGAGAGCCTGTGCAGATGGGGAAGGCAGCAGTCTCACGCTGCCCATCTCTCGGAAAGAAACAGAGGACACGCAAGCAACTGGTCATGCAGTTAAAGGTCTCTCACAGTGCTCTGTGTCTGTGGTTACATGTTGTACAGCTCCCACTGCACCCAGTTCCCAGGAACTTGTTGCATGAGGCACAAGGCATGACAGAAGCCTAGAGCGGGATCCCTCCTGTGAACCGAGGCGCGGGGGGATACACTGACCCACACAGATGGGGCACTGGCATTGAGGGATCCTTCTGCTCCTTCTCATGGATAGGTCGCCGAAAGGGAGGAGCATTCCGGTTTTAGTTTTCTTTCCAAGTGAATTGTGACTTCACAGTTCCTTTGCAGAAGGGAAGGGAAGGGAGGTTATGGGTCAGGCTGGGTGATGTACGTGAAGTGCCGTGCCTTGCAAAGCTGTCTTTGCCGGCCACTCCAGCCGTGAGCTGCTCCCAGTGCCTTCTGCCATGGTGCAGTGGAGTTTAGAGCTGGCGTGAGCTCCAGGAGGACGTTCCTCTGGGTAGCTCCACGCACTGTTAGATTTGTACAATCGTGGTTCCCCACGTGGGCACCCAGGATCTGCTTCCAAGCTGCTCCTGTGTGGAAGGGAGAGAACAGCGTCGTGAAGGAATCTCCTGTTTCAATCGCATGCTCTGCCATTCTGACTGGCAGAACGTCTAAGTAGAGTCGCTCTGTCCTGTGCTTGTTTGCAGGTGTGACTGGAAGTGAAGGTCATCCAGCTTCCCCTCCGAGTTCCAGGACTGAAGCTCCGGCAGATCACACGGGTATGCCATGGCTTTTTAGTTCCTGTGAGAGCTGCCAGCTCAAAGGCCGAATGTCGGCCAGGTCTCTCGGCAGGTGTGAGAGCGAAGTGCTGCGTGTGTGTGCCCTTTCCTTGCACGATCCCCCGGTATGCTCCACTGTGCTCCACAGCGATGCCGTCGTGTACGGAAGCTTTTCACGGCTCTTTGGTTGCAGAAGTGCCCCCAGGGAGGGCTTTGCGTGTCCTTGGCACGGGAGATTTAACTTCATGCATCCTGTGCAGGTCCGGAAAGAGGAAAGGGTGCATCTAGAGGAGGGTATTACGCCTGGTGGTCATCCCGTGTCCAAAGGAAACCCGTGATGAAAATAGGGGAGGCAGTGCATGGCAGAACTAAAGGGACTGACCAAGAGACTGTGCAGAAGAAGCCGTTGCAGGAAGGCAGCAGTGACACGCAGCCAGTCTCTGACCGAAAAACTCAGGCAGAACAAGCAGCTGCTTTGCCAGGTAATTTCAGTCCCGTGGTCATCCGGTGTCCCCAACCAGAACCACTGCGTGCCACCAGGCTCTCCCTGCCTGCTCTTGCGCAGCAGGCCAGCAGCCAAACCTGAGCGTGTTCCAACAGAGCACGTGCTACAAAGGAGCCTGAGGGCCATGAGCCCTGCCTGGTAGGAGCCTGCAGGAGTGTTTCTCCACTGGGCTGGCTCCAGCTGTGCCTTGTGCTGGCTGGAGGCTGACCTTCAGCTTGGGGAATGTCCTGGGGGAGAGCTCCGGACATGAAATGTGGGGAAAGTGTGAGGGTTTCTGCTCTGCAGTGCTGCCCACGGACAAAGCCCAGACCCCAGGGCGGAGCCCAGCCCTCAGCCCAGAGGAACAGATGGGCAGTGCCGGTGCAGCCTCTCCCTACCCAACGGGAAGTGGAAGCAATCCTTCTTGTCCTCTGGTGCTTATACACCGGAGACAGAGGTACCCACTGATGAAAAAGGAAATCTCTTGGCTCCGTGAAGCGCACTGTGAGATCATGCGGCACTGCCTCGGTTCTTCCAGGGGTGGACGTAGGGAAAATCACGAAGGCTGCTGTTGGCAAGGAGCTGCAAAAACGCCACATCCCAGTGGTTGCTGTGGTCTCAGCTGCGCTGCTGTCCGTGCTGACGCTGGCCTGCATTCCTATGCTATGGATGTGGAAAAAATACCTGTGAGTTGACTTTTCCCCAAGACACTGTATCGCTGCATTTGGCTACAAAGCATTTGTGGTGACAGGATCCTGATGGCCAAATCAGCTGCTGGCAGTACACTGCCAGGATTTATGTTGCAAGGCCTTTCAAGCGTCCCTCGATTCCTATCGGTGAGCAATGCTTTCTGAAACTCATTCCCACAGGGCGCGCAAGAGAGAACGGGCAGCTGCAGGACAAGCTCCTCCTGACACCGACTGCGAGAGAGATCAGAACGCAGGCAAAGGCCGAGCGGAGCTGGGGGAGGCTGCAAAGGAGGATGCACTTGACCAAGGAAACAACCTCTCCATCCCATTCTCCTGGTCCTTCGAAGCAGAATTTGCCGAGCTGTGCAGCGGAATCAGCACAGACCCCTCCCTTCAGCCCGCATGTCCCAGCAGCTCTCCCGCTGACAACATCTCTTCCATTCATACCTGCAGTCCTTAGGACTCCCCTGAGCCATCCAGTGCCCCTGTCACCGGTGCTGAGGGCTCAGGTTCATTTCCATCAAGTTCCATCTTTATGATCAATAAAAACATCCTATTCCAAAGCTGCTGCTGTGACCATTTCCATTGGGTTACAGGGCACGGG